CATAACAGTAACGACGACCGACGCTCTGACATGATCGACAAGATCACCGATAGGATCGATGAAACCAGGGCTGCCATAGACGAAACGACCGAGAAGGTCGAGAGTCGAACGCACGCCCTGATTAAAGATCTGATCGGTGGTATTGCCGATGATGTCATCGCAGCCAAAAAAGATCTTTTGGAGGTCACAAAAGGACTGGCATGCGAAATAAACGCAGCACCAATCCTTAAGTCATACGCCAGCGTCGCAGCAGCCAAACCTATCCACCGCCCCGCACTTCACTCAATGGCGGTCACCCTCGAAGGTGGTCTGGAGACTGCTGACGAGGTGCTCGCCAGGGTGAAAAAAGCGGTTGACGCTAGAGGTACCGGCCTTAAAATAAACAAGGTTCGCAAGGCCAAAAACCAAAAAATTATATTGGGTTGCGACACTGAAGAGGAGAGGACGAAAGTCCAAAAATAATAGAGAGTCGCGGGGATGGACTAATAGTAGCGCCTATAAAAAACAAGAATCATCTCGTCATCTTGAAAGATGTTTTTATGGACAGTGAAGACGAAGATATAATTAAGGCGCTATACGCCCAGAATAAGGATGTCTTCATTGGTCTTACGGAAGAGGACATAGAAATGACAGTCAAATTTAAAAAGCGGACAAGAAATCCGAAGACAGTGCACATCATCCTGCAGGTGAAGCCTAATGTTTGGCAGAGGATGACGGAGGCTGGAGCTCTCTATCTAGACCTACAAAGGGTCAGAGTCGAGGACCAGTCTCCGCTCATCCAATGCACGAAATGCCTCGCATACGGACATGGTCGGAAATTTTGCACCGAGAGTGTGGACAGATGTAGTCACTGTGGAGGACCGCATCTGCGCGAGAAATGCGCAGACTTTACCGAAGGTAATGAACCACAGTGCTGCAACTGCTCGCACTCTGGGTTGCGAAAAACCGACCACAATGCATTTAGTGCTGAATGTCCAGTACGGAAAAGGTGGGACTACCTGGCTCGCGCAAATACGTCCTATGCCTGAACCATTCACAACAAACTACACTATACGCACTAACAACCACAAAGCACACAAGAACATAAACACCACACACACAAGCATGAAATACACGACAAAACGAACACAAACTGATATACAGAATGTATATTGAATATACACGATTATATCAGCACAGTAACACTTACATGAATCACAACACTAACACAAAACAAGAAAAACAACATGAAATAAAAAATAGCAAAAGAAATGGTCAATATATATATATATATATATATATATATATATATATATATATATATATAAATTTAGTATATGTATTATATTGCCTAGGAAAAGCGTGATTAAATGTAGAAGGATGTATAAAGACACATGACAGTAACTCATCAATTCTGACAAATGTATAATTGTAAAGACCTGGCAAAATTGTAAATTGCAAATGTCAAACTAAATAGATTTAAATTCTTAGTATAGTACAAATAATAAATATAAGAATAATTAAGAAATGGCAATAAATAATGTTAAATAAGACGATAGAGAATAGTAGGTTTTTGTTTTTAATTGATGTTAGATTTATAAATGTAAAAATAGAATTAAGAAAAAGCTGTAGGAATTAAGAAATAAAATGATAAGTACAATAGTTGTAAGCCAATAAATAGGTAAATAAAGGAAATTTGTAATTTAAATAAAAATTAGTATATAAGGTGTAGTGTGGAAATTTGTAAGTTTAAATAGTATATATAAGGTGTATATATTATTTAAGATATATCAGAAAATAAATAAAATGTAAGAAACATTATTTTCCCAAATGAAATAAAAATTAGGCATAGAGTAGCGGGACTCCCACCCGGCAAAGAATGAGTGTGGATGAATAAAAGAAAGACCAAGTATGCGGCTTGAAAGTGTGAATGCATGCGAGAACTGGAATGTATGAGTAATATAGATTAATAAGGTCCCGGTGTTCTCATGATCGGTGAAAAGCGATTTAAAAAAAAAAAAAAAAAAAAAAAAAAAAAAAAAAAAAAAAAAAAAAAAAAAACATAACCTAACCTAACCTAACCTTTTTTTTACGGGGGGGGGGGAAATCCTCATGGACTGCCTCTGCCTGGGGACAGGCGGAGGGGTGTGCCGGACTCTTACCGGCTAAAACCACCCCGGTGTCTCCTCGCACGTGCACGCGCGGGGCGGCGGGAATCCAAATTCTTCCGCAGCCCCACACTAGTGCTGGCCCGGTCTGTACGGGCCTCGTCTCCTGCACGGGGTAGTGAGGTGTTCAACTACCCCCTGTATTACCTCAGAGGCACGCGCCGACACCCACGCGTGCCTCCGCCTCGGGTCCATCGAATAGGGGGGCGGGGGCTTCCCCTAGTCCCTGGCCCTTGGACTTATTCATGGGGGCTGGAAAAGGGCGTTGTCCGCCCTTCTCCTGCGCCCGGTGCGCCTTCTGCGGCCAGGGAAGGGAGTCGAGATCTCCCTCTCCCGTTCCGCAGTTTCCTTCTGCGACATCACGTCCTCACAGAAGGACACCACTGCATCCCACGATTCTGCGCTACTCTTCTGCGCCGACCATACTCCGCACCAAGGCCGACAGCGACAAATCGCCTCCTACTTCATTTGTGAGGACACGGCGCTGCTCCTCCCAAGCTACACACTCGGCGAGCGTGTGTTGCGCCGTGTCCTCCCCGCAATGGACGCAGTGGTGGCACCGAGCGTCCGGCTCCCTGTTTATGCGGCACAGGTACTTGCCAAAGCAGCCGTGCCCCGACAGCACCTGCGTCACCCTAAACGACAGGGAGCCGTGCCTTCTCCCGAGCCAGTCGTCGAGTACTGGCCGGATCGCCTCGACGATAGCGAGGCCGGCGGTAGGGCGCAGAAGCCTTTGCCGCCATTCCGCCACCAAGACCTGACGGAGCTCCTCTCGGCGCAGCGCGATCTGTCGCTAACCTAACCTAACCTAATCTAACCTAACCTAACCTAACCTAACCTAACCTAACCTAACCGAGTCCGGTGTCAATTGCCGTCCCGAACGCCACGTTTTCAAGTCGCTCCGCGCTTAAAAAATTCAGAAAAATAGGATTTTTGCAACCGATTTTCGTGTGTGATACGTCAAAAGTTGCGCTTTGACTCGCGGTTCAAATTAGTGAAAACCGCAAGAAAATCGGAGTTTTTGTGAATGAGATATTGTGAAAAAAGTGTTTTTTAAAATTTTTTAAAACTTCTAAGTGAAACGCTGCGAGATTAATCGCTGTTATCCCTATTTTTTAAAGTGCGGCCTTGAAGCCACTTGCGGCCCCCACCTATGTGCAAAAATTGAGATTTCTTGGAGCCACAGTCTTCGAGAAAAAGCCAAAAAAACAAGTGCCACGTGGGCACGTGTTTTGCGAAGCAGAGTCGTGCGGCTGTTTTTGAAGTCGGATTCTGTTAGCACGCGCGGAGAGGAGCCGGGAGCAGCTTTCAGAACTACTTAAAGTTAAGTGGTTAATGAGATATTAAACTTTTAAATTTTGACAAAAATTGATATCTCACTAACTATAAATCTAAAGTGAGGACCCCTAGTTTTTAATTTAAAATAGTGTTTAGAACAATAAAAGGAACGTGTGTAAAAAATTTTGGATTTTTCTAGTAAGTAGTTTTAGAGTTAAAATTTTTTCAAATATTTAGTTAGCACGTGCTACCCTTATTTTAGCTGTTGTTAAATTATAAAATACACATTTAATTAGAGAGTATTAATATTAACATATGTAAATTTTTATAGAATTTTAAAACTTAATTTAAACTGTAAAAACCAAAATTTCCTGAAAATTTATAACAAATTGTGAAAAAATTTAATTATAGGGGGATTAAAAAGCCACAAAACTTATAGAAGTGTAAGGTCGACACCGAGACCTATCAAATGAGCTCAAACACGGGCCAAATCAGTTAAAAACCGGCCAAAATAGCATTTTACCGTCTGGGCCGGCGGCCATTTTGAAAACTTTTAAAATTAAATAGCTCTGGTTGTAGAAGTCGCATTGAGTTGCGGTTTTCGACTATATTATTAGTGGATCGATATCTGTCCACCTACGAAGATTCAGGCTATTCTGAGCTCTCGTTTTCAGGGTTCTGAAATCGATCCCTTCAGAAAGACTGGAAAAAGGGTAGTGGTATAGTCGAAACGCTGATCTCCTGCGATTGCTGGAAGCAGAGTTATTGCCAGTCAAAATCAAATTTGACATTTCGGCAGCCATCTTGTAAAACTAAAATAGGCCATAACTACAGAACTAGGAGTCGTAGAGGACTGGGGTTTTGACCCTAGACGTTAGCAAGTGGTGCCGGAACAGACAGTCTTGCTTTTAGGAAATTTTAGCGCTCAAGAAATTTTAAGTCCTGAAACACGTAGACAGACTCTACATAGAGTCTAAATTTTTTTACTTTTACAAACTAAACAAAAACCTTACTAGGAATATTATTAGAATAAGACAATTTAGACAATTTATAAGTAAGTAAGACAAAAGGGACGACTCTTGGTAGAGCTAAGGAGACTTCCAGACAATTTATACAACTTTTACAATTTTCCATTTTTATGTTAAATAACTAAATGTCTGGAGAAGAATATCTGGGTAGAGCAAGTAGCATTTAAGATTGTAGAGATAAAGACAGACTCTAGGTAGAGTCAAATATAGACAATAAAAGTAGAACTTTTTATAGTAATAATATTTACATTGTATTTTAAGTAAATAAGAACGAAAGTAGAGTCGTGAATCCTCATTGACTGGAAAACTTGCAATATTTGACTTGATTATACGTTTTTATATTTTTACAATCTTGAAATTTTATTTGACTTATTGATTTGAAAAATTTGCAATATTTGCCTTGATTATACATTTTTATAACTTTTACAAACTTAAAATTTTTCTTATTATTTAATTTATTACTATTTATTTTATTTTATCGTCTTATTGGGCGCATATTAATCAAAATTAGTTTAAGTATTGACAAAGCCCTCTGAATCTTAATAAAATGTACAAAACACCCCCGCAAAATAAGTCTGCAGCTTCGACGGAGGACTTTAATAAAAGGACCGAAAAACCAGTACCCACGGGTGGGAAAGACAAAGGGTCAACATCTTCGGTAAGGAAAAGCATTGGTGAGCTGGAATCGCGTCTTGGCGCTGCACCAAAAAACACTATAGCTACACTGCCGACGAAGCAAAATACAAAAACTCCTACTGCAAATGGGGGTGATGACAATCAAGTGGATAGAGAAACGACCCAGTACTCAAATAGAGCACAAGAAGCAAAAGCACACTTGGTAAGAATAAAATTACTATTAAATAGTTCACGTAACTTAAAGAACGAAATAAAAGACGGCATAATAGAAGCTGCAGACAAATTATATGGTATGACAAAAAATATGGAACAAGGAAAAGGACAAAGCATTGAAAAAGAAAAATCAGGTATAGGGAAGTGTCATGAACTGGAGCACGAATTAATAAGAAAATTAGAACAACATACCGAATTCCTCACCGAATGCAGAACAGAGACCCAACGCTTGAGTGAAGAGGTGAAAAAACACAGGGAGGAGCTCATCACCTATGCAAGTGTTACAGCAACCAGAAGGCAGCCCCAGGAGTCTATCTCGACCGTTCTTAAAAACACTACGAGTATACCCGCTCAAATGCACTCTATCATAGTCACGTCAAGCAATGAAAAGGACACGAGTGGCGAAGTCCTGGAAAAGATAAGATTGGCAGTAAATGCAAAAGAAAGCGGGTTAAGGGTAGAGAAAGTAAGGAAAGCTAAAGACCAAAAGGTGATCGTGGGTTGTGGAACCAGGGAAGACATGGAAAAGGTAGCAAGCCGACTCAAAGCCTGTGATGCCGAGCTTTCTGTTGTGGAGGCCAAAAGCAAAGATCCACTGGTCATACTGAGGGATGTATTACTGATCAACACCGACGAGGACGTAATCGCTGCTATTAGGAACCAGAACAAGAACTTGCTGGAAACTCTGAATAGCGAGGAGGTAAGATTGGTAGTACGATTCCGAAAAAAGACCAGAAACCCCCCACACAAACCATGTGATCCTTCAGGTCTCTCCAGCGGTATGGAAACGACTGGTTGAGGTGGGTCGTGTGCACGTAGACTTACAACGTATTGTGGTGACTGACCATTCACCACTGGTACAATGCTCCAGGTGCCTCGCGTATGGTCATGGCAAAAGGCACTGCAAGGAAGCAGAGGACATATGTTCTCATTGCGGAGGACCCCACTTGAAGACCCCATGTACTGTTTTCTTGGCCGGGGAGGTGCCTTCATGCAGTAACTGCACCAAAGCGAAGATGGATCGTCAAGATCACAACGCTTTTAGCAACGAATGCCCTATACGTAGAAGATGGGATGCAATTGCCAGAACCAGCGTAGCATATTGTTAAGGTGGAGTTCAGATATAGAGGCACAGAGACAGAAAGTTGGTCCATAGCAGAAAAAAGAAAAATTTTAGTGGCACAAGCAAATTTACAGAGGAAAGAGCTAGCAACGAGCGAGTTAATGCTCGAAGCGAGCAAGAGAGGTATGAGCTTTGCCCTAATTCAGGAACCGTACGTGGGGAGAGTCGGGTATATGAAAGACTATCGGGGAGCACGTATATTCCAGAGCGCTCAGAGAGGAGAAGGAGTGGTGAAAGCGGCAATAGCCGTTTTTGATGAAAACATCAATGTTACTCAATGTCCGACTCTCACTACGAATAACATCGTGGTGATTAAAATAAAAGTGAACTCCCTGGAGATAGGACTGATTTCTCTGTACCTGGAACCGGATTCACTCATCGAGCCTTATATTTGCCAACTTAAAGAAATAATGATAAAAATGGGCAAAACGGAAGTACTAATAGGAGGAGATACAAATGCGTGGAGCCCATGGTGGGGAAGTGCGAAGGAAGACGGACGTGGAGAAGCGCTTGCAGGTGCGCTTGATGAACTCGGTTTACACGTACTAAATGAGGGAGATCTGCCAACATTTGACACAATCAGAGGCGCCAAAAGATTCAGTAGTCACGTTGACATTACAGCGTGCTCTGAAAATCTTTTAAAATTGGTGGATGACTGGAAGGTAAACGAGGACATAACAAGTTCGGACCATAACACAATACTATTCAAAATTAAAAGCATAAAATCTTCTGGCAAAATAATTAAACGGACAACAAGGATATACAATAGCAAAAATGCAAAATGGAGTCAGTTTCATGAGAAACTGACTCAATTATTGACTGAAAGAAAAATCAACAAAACAAAAATAGACAGTATAAGAAATAACATAGATTTAGAAAAACATTTAGAGCAATATTTAGAAGTAGTAAAAGAAGCATGCGATGCTACAATTCCAAAAAAGAAAAATCAAACAAAACTTACCTTGCCGTGGTGGAATGATGAGCTTGCTCTACTAAAGATAGATGTCACCACCAAAAAGCGCCGAATAAGATGTGCTGCTCCCGTGCGTAGAGCCGATGTTGTTGCAGCGTACCTGGAAGCGAAAAATACATATGAATATGAATCAAAAAAGGCTCAGGTAAAAAGTTGGAAAGAGTTCTGCAGTAGACAGGACAGGGAAGGTTTGTGGGACGGGATATATCGGGTTATCGGCGGAACTACAAAAAGGCACGAAGATCTGCCTCTTTTGAAAGACGGGTAAATACTCGATAACACCGAATCGGCAAAAATGTTGGCTGAGACCTTTTATCCGGAAGACCTAGTTGAAGCTGATAACGCAGAACACCAGCGTATTAGGGAACTAGCAGAAAAAGTCAATGAAGGGACACAAGATAATTCTTGTGACCCACCATTTACAGTCGCTGAACTAAAACACGCAACCAACAGCTTCAACCCAAAAAAGGCACCGGGCGGGGACGGATTTACTGCTGATATTTGCCGTCAAGTTATCCTCCATAATCCTGAGCTTTGCCTGAGCCTAGCTAACAAATGCTTAGAGTTAGGGCACTTTCCCACTGTGTGGAAAGCAGCAGTAGTCGTGGTTCTGAGAAAACCGGGGAAAGAGGATTATGCGCACCCCAAAGCCTATAGACCGATAGGCTTGCTATCAATTATGGGCAAAATCCTGGAGAAAATGACTATCAGGAGAATAAAGTGGCAAATTCATCCTGGGATGAGTACTCGCCAATACGGCTTCATGCCACAGAAAAGCACCGAAGATTCCCTCTATGACATGATGGAGTATATACAAACTCAACTACGAAATAAAAAGATAATTACCATGGTATCCCTTGACATAGAGGGAGCCTTCGATAGTGCATGGTGGCCGGCCATTAGATGTCGATTGGCTGAGGAAAAATGCCCCACAAACATACGACGGTTGATGGATAGTTATCTCCAGGATAGAAAAGTTAACATCAGGTACGCTGGTGTAGAGCACCATCGGGCCACTTCAAAGGGGTGCGTACAAGGTTCCATAGGGGGACCGATACTGTGGAATTTGCTTCTTGACCCTCTTCTCAAGGAGTTGGAGGCGAGGGGTGACCGGTGTCAGGCTTTTGCTGACGATATCGTCCTGCTGTTTGCGGGGGACACGGCACTCGAGATTCAGAGGCGTGCAAATGCCGCTCTCGAGCATGTTCGGATGTGGGGAATTCGTAATAAACTGAACTTTGCGCCACAAAAGACCAAGGCTATGATATTAACCAACAAGTTAAAATACGATTCACCACGTCTGAGCATGGGCGGGATAGACATTGGCATGTCGGAGGAGATCAAAGTGCTTGGTCTTACCGTAGACAGAAAGCTCACATATAAAAGCCACGTCAGAAATGTGTGCAGGAAGGCCACAGCTCTCTACTCACAACTATCGAGGGCTGCTAAAATTAGTTGGGGTCTTCAATCAGAAATCGTAAGGACGATATACGTCGCAGTTGTGGAACCGGTGGTGCTGTATGCGGCGAGTGTGTGGGCGCCAGCTGTTAGCAAACTTGGGGTCCGAAAGCTTCTTAACACCGTGCAAAGGGGATTCGCTCAGAAAATTATTAAAGCATATCGTACCGTGTCTCTACACTCGGCCCTTGCACTGGCAGGCCTGCTTCCTCTGGACCTAAGAGTCCAGGAAGCAGCATCCCTCTTTATAGCTAAGAGAGGAAAGCTCCAGTCGGTGCTGGGGGACAGGGAGGTGGAGACAAGGGTGAATTTTGTGGAACTGCCCCACCCAGCATCTTATATGGATCTGGAATTCATATGCCTGGTAGACGAGAACGAAACAAAACTCAATAGCACACAGAGTCTCCGAATATTTACCGACGGGAGCAAAATAGAGGGAAAGGTTGGAGCAGCACTTTCTATTTGGAATAGTGAAGCCGAGATCAGAGCTCTAAAGCTTAAACTGTCGGACTACTGTACCGTGTACCAGGCGGAATTACTGGCCATATACAGGGCAACTGAGCTAATTCTCAATAGCACTGAAGTAAGCTTTGGAGTTTACAGTGACTCGAGATCAGCTCTCGAGACCATTGTAAACCACGACTCCCAGCATTCCCTTGCAGTAAAGACCCGCAAAAATATACAAAACATCGTAAAGCAACAAAAAAGCATTCAACTTTTTTGGATAAAAGCCCATGCGGGTCTGGCAGGGAATGAACGAGCTGACGAATTGGCTAAGCTCGCCGCATTGCAGAAAAAAGGTAAACCAGATTACGATCTGTGCCCGGTCTCCTACTTAAAGCGTCTCATCCGGGAAGAATCCGTAGAAAAATGGAACCAAAGATACGCAGAGAGTGAAACGGGTCGAATCACAAAGAAATTCCTCCCATGTGTAAAAGACGCTTATAAGGTGACTAGGGTGACAGTACTGTCTCCGGTAATGATCCAGGCGATGACTGGGCATGGTGGTTTCTCCGAGTATTCCAATGCAAGGAGAACCCTTCATGCGTCTGTGAGCCAGAAGTGGAAGAGACAGTGCTACACATACTTCTAGAATGTCCTAGGTTCGGCAAACAAAGGCACGATTTTGAAACGTTAATTGGAGAAAGACTCGAAGAAGCTAAATTACAAACATTGTTGGGCAATAAAACTACTCGAAACAAATTCATTAAATTCTGCGAAGGAATAATCAATAGGGTCGTAAAAAAAAATAACCGAAATTAAATAATATATTTTAAGAATATTAAATTTTTGGAATTTTATATCAAATTTTATACTGTAAGATATTTATTATCTTAATATTAATTGAAATTTAATTGTTTTAATTCACCAAAATAAACTTAGGGCAAGAATTGCAAATGCAAGATAGCCACTCGGGACTTCCTTGAGAATATAGAAAGGATATTCAGAGAGAAAGAACCGCTTTTAATGTAATTAATGTAATAATGATCATGTATGAATAGTGTGTTGCTCTAAACAAAAAACAATAATGTACTTTAAGATAAATTTTAATCAAGTAATTAATTAAGTGACAAAGATACAAAAAAGGACTGAAAAATTAAAAATCACATTTTGTAAGCATTAGATTAAGAGTAGAAGGACTCCCGAACGAAAACCCGGATTCCTCTACACCCTATACTATATATAATACTATATACTAAATATAATAGCAAGGACAAGAAAATAAAAAAACTAGAATTAAAAGTCCGTGTCGAGCTGACAATGTCTCTGACCGACTATGTCAGAGGAAAACAGCAACACATACAAGAAAAAAAAAACCTAACCTAACCTAACCTACCCTAACCTTTTTTTTTTTTTTGAATGGGGAAATGCCTACGCATACCCGCCTCGCGGGGGCAAGGACGGGTTATGTCGGACTCGCACCGACTAAAACCCCATGGTGTTCCACCTTCGTCGCATATTGGCAGGGCTACGGGAACGCTTTCGCACACATCCGCGGCCCTACCAGCGCCTGCCGCCCCATGGCAGCACCTCCTCGGGAGAGGAAAATTCCTCCCCGTTCTCCTTCCCAGGTAAGGCGCACCAGAACACATGGCGCGCCTTCCTCCACGGCCTCCAACTACGTCTGTGCAACAGACGCCCTCGCGTCCGATGCACAAAGGCCATGGGGCCAGGAAAAACGAGCACTTAGAAGTACTAGCCTTCCCGACCCCAGCGGCGGATCCGGTCTATGGCTCCGCCGCCAACCAAGATTCGGCTGCGGAGGGTAGGGAGAGCGGCGCCTCGCAATACCGACAATCCTCTCCCCCCGCAGCCCCACCACCACCGCATCAACGGTGCGGCCCCGTTTGAGTCGCGAAGGATAGGGCGAGTGGCGCATCGCCATACCAACACTCCTCTTCCTCCGCGACTCCACCTCGGCTGCAGCGGTAGAGGGTGCGCGAGTCCCCACTAGCTGCAGTCCACCAGCACACATCCGAAGTGGGCTCCCCAAGCCCACTCGGAGCGGCCACCTCAAGCCGGCCCTTCACCTCGGGCCAGCCACGTGGGTTCCTCTTTGTTCACCGTGGGAGACCAAGCCACGGCTACTAAGCCCCCCCCGCCACGACAAGGCGGGAACCCGTTCGGGGGGGGGAACCTAACCTAACCTAACCTAACCTAACCTAACCTACCCCAACCTTTTTTTTTTTTTTGCATAGGGAAATGCCTACGCATACCCGCCTCGCGGGGGGCAAGGACGGGTTATGTCGGACTCGCACCGACTAAAACCCCATGGTGTTCCACCTTTATCGCATATTGGCAGGGCTACGGGAACGCTTTCGCACACTTCCGCGGCCCTACCAGCGACTGCCGCCCCATGGCAGCACCTCCTCGGGAGAGGAAAATTCCTCCCCGTTCTCCTTCCCAGGTAGGGCGCACCAGAACACATGGCGCGCCTTCCTCCACGGCCTCCAACTACGTCTGTGCAACAGACGCCCTCGCGTCCGATGCACAAAGGCCATGGGGCCAGGAAAAACGAGCACTTAGAAGAACTAGCCTTCCCGACCCCAGCGTCGGATCTGGTCTATGGCTCCGCCGCCAACCAAGATTCGGCTGCGGAGGGTAGGGAGAGCGGCGCCTCGCAATACCGACAATCCTCTCCCCCCCGCAGCCCCACCACCACCGCATCAACGGTGCGGCCCCGTTTGAGTCGCGAAGGATAGGGCGAGTGGCGCATCGCCATACCAACACTCCTCTTCCTCCGCGACTCCACCTCGGCTGCAGCGGTAGAGGGTGCGCGAGTCCCCACTCGCTGCAGTCCACCAGCACACATCCGAAGTGGGCTCCCCAAGCCCACTCGGAGCGGCCACCTCAGATCGGCCCTTCACCTCGGGCCAGCCACGTGGGTTCCTCTTTGTTCACCGTGGGAGACCAAGCCACGACTACTAAGCCCCCCCCCCCCGCCACGACAAGGCGGGAACCCGTTCGGGGGGAACCTAACCTAACCTAACCTTTTTTTTTTTTTGCATGAGAAAATGCCTACGCATACCCGCCTCGCGGGGGCAAGGACGGGTTATGTCGGACTCGCACCGACTAAAACCCCATGGTGTTCCACCTTTGTCGCATATTGGCAGGGCTACGGGAACGCTTTCGCACACATCCGCGGCCCTACTAGCGCCTGCCGCCCCATGGCAGCACCTCCTCGGGAGAGGAAAATTCCTCCCCGTTCTCCTTCCCAGGTAAGGCGCACCAGAACACATGGCGCGCCTTCCTCCACGGCCTCCAACTACGTCTGTGCAACAGACGCCCCCGCGTCCGATGCACAAAGGCCATGGGGCCAGGAAAAACGAGCACTTAGAAGTACTAGCCTTCCCGACCCCAGCGGCGGATCTGGTCTATGGCTCCGCCGCCAACCAAGATTCGGCTGCGGAGGGTAGGGAGAGCGGCGCCTCGCAATACCGACAATCCTCTCCCCCCGCAGCCCCACCACCACCGCATCAACGGTGCGGCCCCGTTTGAGTCGCGAAGGATAGGGCGAGTGGCGCATCGCCATACCAACACTCCTCTTCCTCCGCGACTCCACCTCGGCTGCAGCGGTAGAGGGTGCGCGAGTCCCCACTAGCTGCAGTCCACCAGCACACATCCGAAGTGGGCTCCCCAAGCCCACTCGGAGCGGCCACCTCAAGCCGGCCCTTCACCTCGGGCCAGCCACGTGGGTTCCTCTTTGTTCACCGTGGGAGACCAAGCCACGGCTACTAAGCCCCCCCGCCACGACAAGGCGGGAACCCGTTCGGGGGGGAACCTAACCTAACCTAACCTAACCTAACCTAACCTACTAACATCGGACATTTGCCAAGCTGCGTTTGAGAGCAACCCAGAGGTACTATTATCTATATATAGTAAATGCCTGTTAGTAGGTCATTTCCCAAAATTGTGGAAAAAAGCGACTATAAAGGTTATACCCAAACCAAACAGAGAGGATTATACTCAACCGAAGGCATATAGGCCAATCGGCCTATTACCTGTGTTGGGTAAAATACCAGAAAAAATTATTTGTTAACCGGGTCCAGTGGTAGCTTGGAAAAGAGAATAAATTGAACCACAGACAGTACGGCTTTACCCCACAAAAAAGTACTGAAGATGCCCTATACGACACGATGACTTTAATAAAAAAGAGACTAAACAGTAAATCCATTGTTGTACTGGTGTCGTTGGACAGAGAAGGCGCATTTGATAATGCTTGGTGGGCGGCCATTGTCAATGAACTTCACTCCAAAAATGTTGAGGCATCTATGTTAAGGCTCACAAATAGCTATTTGTCGGAAAGAGAAATACACCTTAAGTACGCGGGGCAAGAAATTAAGAAACCTACAAATAGAGGTTGTATCCAGGGCTCTACGTGTGGGCCAATGCTCTGGAATATCCTACTCGATCCATTACTGCAAGCAACGGAGAACTCGCAACCCCATGTACAAGCCTTCGCTGACGATATTTTGATTATCGACATTAACCAAGATGGGCAAAAACTGGAGGAAACCTTAAATCACACTCTTAAAATAATAACAGAATGGGGCAAAAAAACATAAATTAGGGTTTGCTCCCCATAAGACTCAGTCAGAGATAATAACAAGAAAACAAAAATTTTATCAGCCTTTGCTAAAAATGGAAGAAGTTGAACTACAATACTCGGATCGACTAAAAGTTCTGGGCTTAACAATAGACAAAATATAAATTTCAAGCTACATCTGGATAATGTTTGTCGCAAGGCAATTAAAATTTATAAAATGGTCTCTAGAGCAGCGAGGGCTAACTGGGGCCTGAACTCAGAGATATTGAGAATAATCTATTTGGCAGTGGTAGAACCAACAATATTGTATGCTGCCAGCTGCTGGGCCGAAACAACAGAAAAAAAGTATATTGAACGCATACTCAACAGAATGACCCAGATTTTTGGTATACTAATCAGTAAAGGACATAAAACTAACTCCCTGATCTCCAGCACACTTATCTCAAATAATACCGCTAGCTCTAAGAGCAAAAGAAAACGCTAGTATATATAAAATTAAGAGAGGCAAACCTAAAGAGCTTCTACCAGGAAGACAAATGGAAACAAGAATAGGCCCTTATGATCTACCACATCCTTGCGATAGAAAACAACGTAATTTCAATCACATAAATAGCCAGAAGGATATGGACGAGATAAAAAACGATTGGGTTAGAATCTTTACCGACGGAAGCAAGATCGACGCAAAAGTGGGCGCAGCAGTAACAATATGGCACAATGGATATGAAATTAAAACAATAACTTTTAGATTGGAAAGTTACTGCAGTGTTTATCAAGAGGAGATGATGGCAATACATAGAGCGCTAAAACACATAATAAGCAAAAATTATTCAGGAGCAAATATATTCAGCGACTCAAGATCGGCAATCACAACCATCTGTGACTCAGCCTTCCTTAATCCAATAGCTTCAGAAATACGAAAAATGATCAAAACTTTAGAAGACAACCAAAAGCAAGTATTGCTTTTTTGGATAAAAGCACATTGTGGAATACAAGGCAACGAAAAAGCAGATGAACTTGCTAAGCAAGCAGCTACAAAAAATAAGCAAAGCTCGGCTTATGACAAATTTCCATTGTCATATGCAAAGCGCCTCACCAGAAGCTCAACTCTGCAAACATGGCAACGGAAGTACGAACAGGCGAAGACCAGCAGTTTAACGAAGACGTTCTTTCCAAATATTGTTATAGCATATAAGATATTAAAAACCATAAAAATGAACAACTTAGTTACACACTTATTTACCGGTCATGGTGGAAACAAAGCCTATTTGTATAAATATAAATTGTCGCCATCCCCATGCTGCATATGTGATGAAAATGCAGAGCAAACTGTAGAGCACGTTTTAATAGACTGCCCACGTTTTGGGAAAGGAAGATTCGAAACCGAGTGCAGCATGGGAATGACGATAACACCAGAAAACTTAAAATT